CAAAGGGGCGTGGCATTATAACCACGTGACATTTACTCCGATCGCCAAAAATTTTATGTTATATTGTAGATTGATCTATATGTTATCCATTCTATGTATTAGACTTACGATAAAAGTAAAGGTGGGGATACAAGAGAGCTTCAAAGTAGGATGGTACCTCCTAAAAAAAACTGGGTCGAGTCACCTTAAGTGGGAAGTTCACAAGAGAACTGTGTTATAGAAAAGTCATCAGTAACGAAGAAAAAACTTTTAGGAAGCCCATAGTTTATAAGCCCCCGGATTCTATATAGGCTTCCTTGCCATTACCACTTTAAACATTTGATTTTGTACATAATTTAGTTAGAACAGTGTATATTATCTTTAATGTGTCATAAATTGCTGTATACTGTTGTTGGATTTGTGGTTAATGGCAAAAATAAATGAATGGATGAATTACCGGTAGCTTTACTGCCCGTTACTTTACCCAACTGTGGGAGAGTCCAGAAGTGGCGATGTGCACAAAACCATCTTAAAACATAGTAGTGAGTGATCGGACAATAGGCCACTTGCTAAGAGGTCACGTGACCAAAGCTTCCTTTAAACAATGAGTTGGAATCTTGTTGATGCCAAAAATTGACAGAGCACATAAAAATTATCTTACACCCGAAATTTGAGACGAAACGCATTTATGGGAGATATTTTATGACACTTTGATTTTTCAGCAAAGTAGTCTGATTTGTCTTGGCCATCATGCTGGAGAGCAAGAGTATGCCCTCCAACATGGCGGCCAAAACTACTTTTTGCTTGTATCTTGTTGAATGTTTGATAGTTACGCTCAGACGTGCTGAAAAAAGTTACCACATCATCTTTTCAACTATTTCCTTGAAGTTTACGTGTAAAATTTCTGTTCAGAAAGAGGTAATTCATAGTTTTAAAAAAATCATATTTTGGTCACGTGACCAGCTACGAACTTACTCATCTGAAGAAAATGGTGCGGGTTTGAAAAACTAAATCACTATTATTTTGTTAAAGATATGACCCAGTAATGGTTTTTTGAAGGCACAATCATATAATCATAATCATTTTTTCTTCATTTTCAAAATCATATAACTTTCATTTTCATAAAAATGATGTCACACGACCTCTTACTTGGCCTATTCAAACGTCCAAAGAGGCTCAGTTGACCACCAGTTCAATTTACTGGAATCTGGGCCAATGACAACACGCAGAAACAAGGTGTCGTCCTTAAGATACCCCCTTGTCTTAAGTTTTTCGTGAGATACGAAATTAGGAATCCCAAGATTACAGCAACTATTTTCCTTGGGCCTTTCCGTGACTTTATGTGTAAAGGAAAGATCAACATTTTGCCGTAGGTGGCGTTGTTGATCGATAAGGGTAAACGTCACAGCTGTAATGAAGGGCCACGATAACAAAGAATCATATTCCCCTGCCATTACACTAAGGAATACTGACATGTGAGTGTTCTCTGCAGTCCCGTTACCGTTGGGATAGAGAAGTAACTGCATTTTGTAACCACAACTTTCTGTGTAGAATGGGTCGCTTTGCAAGAAGTTACCCAATTCCTTTGTTTGCCTCAATACCTCAGAAAAATTTTGAATTTCCCACAAAAAACTATTTGTCTTTTTCATCTGCATCACCTTCTCTTCTACAACTACGTTCACCTGCCCTTTATTCATTTTTTCTTTCAACTGCCTCTCAAACGTTTCCATTTTCTTCTCCAAATTGCATGTTGTTTCTTGAGTATTATATAGTTGAGCCAGAGTGCCGTCCAGTTGCGTTTGTACGTCATTCAGCTGAATTTTAGTTTGGTTCAGCTCACCTTGTGTATTTGCTAACTGCTTTTGAGTGTCGCTCAACTTCACACAGGCTAAAGCAAGATGTGCCTCGGTAGAAGATTGAAGATGGGAAGCCAATTTTTTACGTTGAATCTGCAAATAATGTGCACATCATTACCACTTTCATTCCCAAAAGTTTGTCGTTTTGTTTATCACAATGCAATTGGCCGTGCCGGAGCTTCGACTGGTTATGCGAGACCGCTTGGTCAGAGACTATAAAAACAGGGAAAAGTGAATCGATATTGTGTGATCAAAAAGCCCAACCGAAACAAACAGCTGGCTTACGCCTTACCCAGTCTCTTGATTTTTCTCTTTGCTGACTGGTTACTTCGCGACGAATTTTGGAAGAACTCGGGAACGACTGGCCAAAGGGGACGAGGTGTTTGGAATAATAGAAAAATACTTTTTTAAAAACTGAAAAGTGGCCACTACTTATAAGTACACTGGGTTTCATAATGCTACTTATGATATGCATTATAACAAGTCAAAGTCTCACATAGATTAATATATTCCCAGAAACTAATTACAACGGAGCTCAAGACTCACACCTTTGTATCGCAGCCCACTGAAAAATAAGGGCAGGGAATCATGGTAAGTGGGCAGTCAGTTTCAATGTGATGTCCAATCTAAATAAAGAGATGAAACTCAATTATTAGTGTTAACTAAATGAATAAACGTCATTTCCTATTGTTCTTACACACAACGGGCTTGAAGAGGATAACTATATCAGTTTGATGATTTGCATTAAAATCTACTGTTACTGTTATCTGTGGCAAATGTCATAACAGCAACAACTGCATACCCCAACAACGTCCCATTTCCTTACTCTAGAAAGGAACAGCTGCTATTTTCAATGATGCGTCAAGAACTAGGTTATGAGAAAGAAAAGAAACAACCAATCTATTTTGCTATCTTCTAACTTTACCTCCTCTCTTGCAGTGATCTGACCACACCCATTAGAACAATCGATAGGTATCTTCTGACATTCACTAACATGTTTCTGTGGACAAGGTGAAAGAAGTATAATTATTATCAGTTCCATGAAAAAAAACACTCTGCCTCTCATTTGGACAATTCTAGATTAACTTTTAATCCCAGGAAAAGCATGCTAGGTATGCTAGGCCCCCACTTCCCCAAACATTCCACTACGCTTCAAGACAGTGCACCTACTCATCCATGGAGTAGTAGTGCAATCTCGTTACAAATAACCACAAAGAAGAATTATGCAGATTGAGTAGGGTGTTATCCACCAACAACATCTGAGGTCTTCATAATTCTTCATATCAAATACAAGCCAAATTCAATAGCATTGTGTTATTATTTATTAAAAATACATGTGTTTCTAACTCCTTAACATCCTTTTTTCCTTATAGACTTTCTTACAAAAACATTTGGCTCTTTCTTGGCAAGAGTTTCAGAATATGAAGAAATGTTTTTTTTCCTTGCAGTTACTCCTCAAAAAGTAGATGACATCCATTGTGTATTCATGCACTTCTGACTTAATTATTCTGTTCAGTTTTACAAATTCAGCTATTTCATCTTCGGAATAGCCATAAACTCTTTTGCCATTTTCTTAAGTCCTGCATTCACACCATAACAGCAAGGCTGTCACTCTCCTGCCTGGAAATGAGGTTCCAATTGCATATTGGCAAAGAATATACAACATTACTGATTTAAGGTATAACTCCTGCATCTTCCAAATTTGGTCAGTGCCAGCTGGTTAAGAAGAACTAGCTATATAATAGGGGATTAAAGACAATCATGCAGAAATGGCAAAATTTTTGATGAGTATTAATTTTTTATTTATAATGAATACATTTTGCCCTAAGCCCTTCATTAAATCAGGGTTGCATTACATTATTAAGAAATTTAATAACAAGTTTACAAACAAGCAAGGTATAAATAAAGATTGCAAAGTTGGTGATTGAGAAAATCACTACTGGTACTTGTAAATCGCTGCGCATAGTGTGTTCAGCGATGTTTGGTGTCTTGTTCAGCTAATTGTTAGGCGTCTTGGCATAAGTTTTCTGTTTCGTTTTTTTTGATCCTACAATTTTAGAAACTAGCTGGGATCACCATTTTTTTTATAGGGATCCCCTCATATCTGCATTTGGGCTTAGAAATGTTCAATATCAAATTTTCAATATACAAATAATTTACACTTCATTAATTATTGTAAGACTCTACAAAGCCCATCCTTAAAATTTTGTTATCTTAACCCAAAAACAAATCACACTACACAAATTACCTCTTCATCACACTTAATATGCTTCTCATTGCAGTAACCACAGTGCACTATTCTCCACTGACACAACTTAGCTGCATGATCACCCACAAGTATCCTTTTCATTTGAAAGTTACAATTAGAATTAGGGCAAGTGATAATCTTGTAACCACAGATGCCGAGATGGACCTAGAAAAGGTGAAAAAAGGTATTGAATTAGATTTACACCCTCATTGAAAAAAGGTCACTAAAAAATTCCAGAAATTTCATTAAAACAATATGAGAGTAAACTGGGTTTCACTTTAAGTGAACAGAGAACATATGGATGTGTTACCCCTAATAACTCTGTAATAATAAAATGCTGCAAGAATATAACTGGTACACCTGGTAGACAAAAGTAATGTTTGATATAGCCTGGAGCTAATGGAGTGGCCCATCAGGCTAGAATGTTTTAACTGCAAGTTGTTTGATAGACAAGTAACATTAGCCAAGATATTACACAAATGTTTGTGGAAATATATGTTGGTTAAGGCATGCATGACTGCCGCAACCTTGTAAACTTCATCACAGCTTAATGCCCAACGAGAACTTAGCAGTTTTTTTTAAATTTTCATCTCACCCTGCATCCTACATGCAACAAGAAAAACAGGGAACAGATAGTTTAGATAAATGTTTCTCTTTAGTCTTTGGAAATACTTCATGGTTAGGAAATAACACGTACTTCTAGGGGTATACAATGGCACATTTGATACTCTGTGAGACTGCGAGACCTAGGGTTTCAAAATTCAAGACCAACACTTAAGAAATTAAACACTCTGAGACGCAAAATCACCCGAAAACGAGACTTGGAGACCTATCATAAATGCTTCCGAGATTTCGAGATCAGGCCAAAATTTTCTGAGACCCCCGTTAATTATTGAAGAAGGATTCTATACCCCCTCTTCTTGTGCAACTCTACCTTACCTCTGCATGTCTGGTCTCTCCAGTCCACGCACACCCTTTACTAGGGCACTTCACAATACAAGACAGAATATTTCTTTCAGTGGCTTTATCAGGAAATATATCCTTTATAAAAACAAATTAATAATCATGACAATCAATCATCTTTGTAAGACAAAAGTTGATGCTAACACTAGCTCTGCCACATGAAAAGGTAGTTTACGCCTAAACCAGCTTAACCCATCAGGTCAGTGAAGGTGTGGAGGATTCCAAGTCACCCATCAGGATATAAAAGAAGAATTGTCAAAGGCCCATGCAAATGGCCAGCATGCAAACTTATAGGTAGTAGTTGTAACACACCAATTGCAGACCCCCCAATGATCCATCTATCTGCACTTCCCGCGTCTCAGACTCATAAATTTCCAAAAAGATGCATAATTTAGTCCTGCATGCAATCCTTTGGACACAAAAAATTACCACAAAACAAAATCTGTTTACAAAAAACTTTGCAATATTAGGGACCTTAAGCAACCTAGACGACAAGCCAAGTGGACGCTGCCCGGAAGTGTTCTCACAAAGCCAGCAACTTCTACGCATGTCAGTGATGTCGTCCACGTGGCGTTCAGGAGGTGACAATTAACTGTTGATTTGCTGTCCTCGGGTGAACATGAGCATTCAAAGCAATTTTTGTTGTTTCTGTGCCCATTTTACCTTGTTTAATACTAACATTTGAAAAAAGAAAACATAATTTTTTACTTTTTGTTGAAGGTTGGGCTATTGGAGCAAGAGATTTTGAGAGCAAGATTTTCACTGTATTTCGTATGTACTGTTCCCGGTTAACTTGATCAATGTGAATAGAGTGGTATATCTGTATTAGATAAATGAATTGGACTGTACGGAAATCTTGTCTCCGGCAATTAAACTCCTGTAAAATGTATAGGACAACAAAACCAGCTCTGTTCTGTTTGATTCGATTCAAGCCTTTTCATCTGATAAACGGTTTACTGATTTAAATCCTTTGGATAGTAGGAAAAATTCTTAGTCATCAATTGTGTTGTTCTCTGCAATGCTAAAAAGAAATAACTCTCGTATTTCTTTAAACGAAGCCGTTCAGTGCAGTCTACCTACGTCGGTGACGAGCTGAGACGGGAGCTTGCTTAAACATCTGTTTTTGCCGCTTTGGATGACATTCTCGACCCAGACGTCACTCATTTTCTCTCGTTGTCCTGGCTACTTAAGGTCCCTATTAAGCCAAGTAAGTATAGTGTGTGATCATACAGCCAACTCTATTACAGGCTCACTGTTCATCAAGGCTGCTGCCAAAGAAAATTTTTTGGGGAGCCCCTTGAGCTCCTAAAATAAACTTGTAGGAACCCATGCCACACTCCAGGGGCCCATTGATTGATAAACTTAAATAAGTAAGCAGATGCTCAAAACTTGATTTACGCGTCTCGATTCATTCAAGTTTGGAATTTCCAGAAAAGTGCTTGTTTGTTTACTTTTATCAGCAGAAATTTTTGGCCTACAGTCGAAGAACGCACGTTTTTACGTTTTCATTTATAAAAGCATAAAATGAGCAGGAAATTCTGTCGTTCCTTCATTGGAAGTAGGCAAAGAGGCCATTGCCATAAGAATCATAAGTTTTAGGCAACAGTGCGGGCTCCTTGTTTAAAATTTTAGTTGCCCACAAGCAAATTGTAGGAGCCTCAGTGAGTGGTGACCAGGCGCTCATAAGGCAGCTGCCTTGTTCATGTTCAGTGTTTACAGAAGTGTTAGTTCTTCAACTTGTCACACATGTTTTCTGTCTTAATGTCCTGTTGCTTGCACACAAGTTATTTAAATTTACTGCATGAAAATTTAATTTTTCTTTGGTGAAATTTAATAAATGCCACTGAAGAAAAAAGTTACATGCCTGGAGGGGCAAACACAGCTCTCATTTGCGGGTTAACATCAAGAAGAAAAAGGACAAGAACCAGCAAATGCAACTGAACAAGATGATGCTACAAATGCTACAACAGCCCAAGCTTAATCCAAGGAAACAAAATTCTTCAAGCCGTGGCTGAAAAAGTATTTATGGTTGGTTTACTAGAAAAATGGCAATTACAGCTGTACATGTACTGTCGAGTCTGCATGGAGACTTAGGGAAATATAACAGAATGAGCAAGGAAGCCCAGTGCCAAAATTTTCAAAACACCACGCTTGTTGGAACTTAGAAATCCAAGGATGAAATTATGAGACAACACGAGCATTGAACATGAACATTCTAGTCTTCCTTTATTCCTAGTTCTCACTCCTGAGCAAGCACATCCATGTACACGTAACATATGACTATGACGTAACTTCGCGCAATGTAACACAACAATAACAAAACAAAGTTATGATATAACAACGCTCACTCGAGATGTTGGTCTCCTCAGTTGAACACAAGATGGCCCTCCACAGCCCTGAGATAAGAAGTCATTCAAGGAAGCCCAAAAGAAGGGCAAAACAAGGCAGAATTAA